GAGAAAATCCAAAATGCATTGGGGGCTGGGAGTGGATTTCTGAGCATTCCTTGAAACAACATATGTTAGAAAAGAGTCCCAATGACCTATGTAAAGCTCTACTTTATGGATACTTAAAAAGTCATGTCTTCAATAAAGGGCATAGAAAAAGAAAGTTTTGGTACTTATGCAATCAAACAGAAAACTCTGAGAAAAGATCATCAAGTATCAAACTTGACTGTCAAGGGTAACTGTCTTAAAAACTGGGATAAACTCCTCTCTGGCTAAGAAATACCAAATTTTACCTAATGACACTAAAACAAGCTGAATGCTATGAAAAGCTACTTTGTAAATTTTGTTTTTTTGGTACTATTTTATTACTTCTTTTAGAATTTTGTACATATATACAATGTATTTTGATTCATATCCATACTCATTTCCCCTTCCTAACTGTGCCCCTCCTTCTTCCCAAATGTATGGTTTTAAAATAGTTCACAAACGAGTGATTAGATCAGAAAATCAGGTTTTATTACTGACCATATAATTTAAATAACCTGTAAGTTATAATGATGTAGAAGTCATTATGTGAAGTATTGTAAATGATATGGTTGCAAGAGGTAGACCTTAAGATCTATGTTCATTATCCATGGTCTGAACTAATTAGAAAGAAACCTTATAGTAATACAATAATGGGATTTCATTAAAATGGTCATTGCCTTGAGAAAGGTATTTATAATCATCAACTTGTATTCCCTAAATGGTTTCCCTGAAATATAATGGCTCACATATTCCTTTTAGGTAACTCCATTAAAACTCTATGAATTGTAGGGTGAAGATATTTTTTAATATAATCTATACTTTCCAGATAGAAAGCTAACCAAGGACACCAAAAATTTAGGACAAGAAGTTTAGCCTGCCTGTGTGGGTGCTTGTGAGAGAGCAAGAGATGAAGCGAGTGAGAGTGAGAGTAGAGCTGCTACAGGGTCAGGTAGTTGACGGACAGATGGCTTATAAGGAAAAATAACCAGAGAGCATTAAAAAACTAGCTTCCCCAGACAGCCTTTCTAAATATGCTTAGTAAGATATATATCCTTGAAAAAATTAAAGACTGTTTTCTACATAGTCTAAGGTTATAAAATTACCATTAAAAGAAATTATTTATGCAAATTAAGCAAATTATAATTATGATGGACATATTCAGCAGGCATTACGTTCACCCACTGTTAAAGTATAAATTATGGTGTTAAATACAGATGGGAGATTCTTCCGAGAAGCATAGTCCTAAATAGTGCGCTAGCTACACGAGCTTTACAAGGAGCTGTGTTCCTTGGTCATTGAATCTATAGAGCGAGATCAATAAACACGAGCGTTTACACTGGAGAGGATTAATGTGAGAGCACAGCATTAATTCCCAAAGCTGCCTCCCCAAGAGCATTTATAGTTAAGGAGCTACTCAGACTCAGGAAGCACTTCTAAAATAGCTTCATCTCTTTTAAGGGAAATGCTTCAATTCTCTTGTCGGTCAACTTAATAACCAAAATAATTCAAAATGATGCAAGGCTCTGCTCATTTCTCCAAAATGGTGGAAGAAAAAAAAATCAGTGTAGAAAGAGTCCTCAGCATAGAGCATAAGCCACTGGCAAGATTCTTTCTCGTTTTCTGCTGCAAAATATCAGTAAATTTGTTCTAAACAGTAAAATCAAATCGTTAGCCCAAAACAGGTCAAGTTCTAGTAATCTTGGGTAGAAGATTACAAAGATAAAATAAATAGCAATGAGACTACTGAGTAATTTATATAGCCATAAACCTTCAAATTAAATGTTCTTAATCTTTTTGAAAACAATTTCCTTCCCACTTCTTCCTCTGGAGTATCAGTGAACTGAGCACATTAATATGCTTTCCTATACAGCAGCCTGATGAAATTCCAATGAGACACAACCTCCCGACCAATACTCACTGAGCATGCCAAGTTTAGTATAAAAATCTTAACACATACAAAAATAGAAATCTTTTTAAAAACTTTACCAAAATAAAAGTTTAATATTTACATTTTTAAATATATCTTCATATTTCATTTTATAATGTTACTGAGCTGTAGATATTAAAAGTTGCATGTATTTGCAATATACAATGTGATGGATTTTGACAGGTTGTTCATGAAAACATTACATAATTAAAATACTAAGCATGTCTCTCATCCTTAGTTGTTTAATCCATTAACTCTTGCATTTAATGGTAACCTACATTCCTACAAATCTATCAGTCTCCCTCCATTGCTGTGGGACATTTCCTTGAGTTGAGTATAATCAGATTTATGTAACATCCAGCCCTTTTATCAGGCTTCTTTCATTCAGCAGAATTATGTCATTTATCCCCCTCCTCATGGACTCCACTAGTTTCATTTACATTTCTAAGTATTCTACATTTCTAAGTATTCTACATTGATATATCACAACATATTTAATAATCCACCTGTAGTTGGTTGTTTGAGTCTCTCCCGTTAGAAAGGTAAAAGCAGTGTCTGTGCTGAACACTGCAATGTATATTGGACTTTTTTGAGAGAGTGGCAAGCTCTCTATGAAGATTACATGGCAATTCAATTCTGCATGAGGATAACACTGGTTTTCCAGTGGTTGCATATCCCTGGTAAGACTGGGGATGGCTAGCCTTCTAATATTAGCCATTTAGGAAGGTGCGTTAATACCCCATTGTAGATTTATATACAATTCTCTAATGATTAAAAATAAAATACACCTTTAACAGAATTGTGGAGCACTGAAAAAAAAAAAACTCTTTTTATATTCTGTGTTTATTTTTTAATGTGTCTATAGCACAAATTTTTTAGGTTTAGTGTATTGTTTCATGGGATTTGGATCATCGTAGTTTCATGACACCTGTACACACGCTTAGGAGACATACTTATCAAGATGCAGACCTGGCACAGGACTGTAAAAAGTCCCTTATGCAGCTTCTTTACACTGGAATTCAGTCACAAACTTTCACCTCTACAAGTCACAGACCTGGTTTTTGTTGCATTTCTTTTCTCCTTTCCCCAACTGTCACTTCAACGGAGCCATACTACAAACTGTCTCTGAATCTGACTTCTTTTTATCTGACATTGTGCTTAGCAATACTTTATCCATACTTATTTCTGAGTATTATTATATATCTACATGTAATGTTGTTTGCACATTCACCAACTAAAGACAATTTATGTTATTACCAGATTTTACAAATTATAAATGATGCTCTAGGCTTTTGTATAAAAAATTATTTCACATTTATATATAACAACAATTAAATGATAAAAGACAATTAATTTGAAAGAGAGCAAGGGGCTACATGGGAAGGTTTGGATGGAGGAAAGAAAATTGAAATGATATAATTATAATGTCAAAACATAAAATAGTTTTAATTTCATTTTATTTTTAATTTACATGTGAAAAATTATTTCATTTATCTTCAGTAATCACCTAGGAGAGAATCTCTGAATTTAGTGGCTGAGCATAGTTAACATTATAAGAAAGTTTGAAAATATTTCCAAGGTAATTTGATCATCTTGTATTTTCAACTGCAATATACACTCCATATTTTTGTCGAACATCACACTGGTAGTTTCTAATATCAAAAGTGTGTTATCCTTTTCAACAGATAATAGAATTCCCTGACTATGGTTCTTCTAGTGCTCATCTCTTTTGTAACTAATGGTAGCAAGCATATTTCATTCACATGTTTGCCAACTACACACTTTGTTTGTTTGGCTTGGACTGATATGCAAAGTTAATTCACAGAAGAGTCTTTTCACTAACTAGTGTTAGAAATTTTAGACATGAAATGCAATTCTCATCCAGAAGGAAAAACAAGATAGACACCGGAAGTGGTAGAAGGGAGGAAACAGGACTGGAGCCTACCACAGATGCCCTCTAAAAGACTCCATTCAGCAATTTAAAAAAATTGATCTATACTTTGAGCCACATATGAAAATTTATTCAAAACCAGTTATAAACTAAAATATAAATCATTAAGCTGAATTTTTTATAATAGAACACCTTTGCGACCACAAGTTCAGCCAGTATTTCCTGAAAATGACAGAAAAAGCATATGTCAAAAAAGAATACAATGGTCCATTGGACTTCACCAAATAAAAATCTCTTCAAAAGGTGAAATTTAAGAGAAGATGAAACATGAATTCAAAACATGTATGTAATGTAGGATTTCTGTCCAAAGATATCTACAGAGCTCTACAGCTTAACAATAATCTGAACAACATGGAAATGGCCAAAACACTTGAATAGACTTCACCAAAGGAAAACTAAAATTGCAAATACAAAGACAGCAAATATGATTAGTTACTTTGAAAATGCAAATTGGAACCATAAAGAGATACTACTAAATAAATGTATGCTGGACTTGCTGACGATGGAAACAGTGATCACATTAAGTGGTGACACGGCTGTGGCAAACGCCACTTTCACATCTCGGTGTTGGGGGATGTGCAGTAGGAAGATCCCCGCTGGAACACCGTGGCTAAGAGGAAAGCGTGTGTATGTGTGTGCACAGCACTGCACGGAGATGTCCACAGAGGGTTTACACGAGTAATCCACGTGAAAACAGCCCAAAAGTCCATCATCAACAGAAAATTTAGGACACTGAGGTTCCACAAAAGCACTAAACACCCCCTTTTCAAACTGTAGGCACAGCGGATGTGAGGGAGCACTCTAGTAATCTCGGCATTCAGGGAGGCAGACACAGGTGTATCTATCTCTGTGAGATCGAGGTCAGCCTGGTCTACAGAGTGAGTCCAGGATGGCCAGGGCTACACAGAGAAACCCTGTCTCAAAACATCAAAACAGATGATAAATAAATGAATAAATACAGACTGTGGACACGATACCTAGAAAATAAAGAGGACATTGCACAGTGTGCCTGTGTAAGTCCACAACAGCTAAGTGATGGGAGGAGCTATAGCTCATGATGTAGCACTTTCTACTTCTCATTTGATGGCAGAGCAAGCACCTTACCTATGTACTTATAGCCTTCTTCTCCATCCACCAAAGGTCTCAGCCATGTAGACCGGAGTCTTGTGCCACTGCTCACTTTGGCGCCTTCAGGAGGATACAGTGTAAATAACAGTTCAACTGCATGGGACTTTTTGATTACCTCAGAATATTTTCCTTGAATACCTGTAAACAAAGAGAGAATATTGTTTTTTTAAAGTTTTATATATTTTATATTTCTTCCATATTTATTGTAAATAATGAAAACTAAAAACTACTCAACAATTTGGATTGTCCTCTGTCAGAATAAGTTTTAAAAAATCATATGGTCACAGAGTCCTGACAAAGTAAGGGATTTGCCAAAGTAAGTAATTGTGTTTAGATGCTATCATTTTAGAGCAATGATTGCCAAAGCCACACAGAAATTAAAATGAGTAATGAACAGCATTATACTATATATTTCATAACACAAATGAATATTTTTAATTTTTAATTGCCATTAAAGAATAAAACCAAATTACTTTGACAAAATGTTGAATCAGCATAAAGTTTTGCAAAGTAGCAAAGAAGAAAGAATTAGCTTCCCTAGACTGACCTTTTTTAACAACAACAACATATGTATATATATATATATATATATATATATATATATATATATATATATATACATGTCTTATATATACACATACATATATGTGTGTGTATAGGCCAAGATTCTTTTTCTTCAAACACTTGTGCTGGACAAGGAATTGCCCATGTTCTTAAAGACAGTACTACATCATATTTTCAAAGCAAATTTCTAAGAAAGGTCCTGTCTCCAAACACATGAATGAATAGGCTCTTTGAAATTACAGAACACGTTCATATCCCATCCTATACAAGTACCATATGTACAATGAAGGAATCCTCAGAACTCATGAGGACATAGAAATTGAAATCAAAAATAATATGTGCTTTGCAGAGCAAAACAATCTCTGCTTATGGCCTTGAGTTTTCTTTTTCATTTGTAATTTCAGATTTTGAGTTATAAGTCAGTGTCCTAAAACTCAGTGGCTCCTGAGAAACTAAAAGAGGAGGGACCTTTAATTGGGAAGGAGTGAGGAAGGATAATAAAGAAGAGGGAAGGTAAGGAAAAATTTAAGATGCTTGAAAAAGACATGGGAAATATTTATTTCATATTTATCTAAATTATATATAATACAATTAAGAATATGAGTGTATGTGTAGTTAAAAATAAAATATCATCACTTGGAATAAAAATACTTTTCCCCAAAGCCATAGATTATCTAACAAAAAGCCCAGAACCAGGCTAAAAATCCTCATCCCAATGAGGATTTATTTATTTAATGGGTTCAAGGCCCACTTATCAAGAGGGAAAGTAGAACTACACACAGCTACTGAGGCCATGACACACAGCTAGACAATGATCTACTATGGCCAATTTTCTAAACCGATATGCTTCTTAACTACATCCTAAATACTTGCCTGTACACTCACAGTTAAAGTGTAATCTCACCCCTCATCAAAGAGGCAGCAGGCGACCATTACTGAAAGCTACAGCTAATCAAAATGTAGAGATCAACTAACTGTGAAGTATCTCGCCCTAATAGCTAAATCTACAACACTGCTCCTGTACCGAAGGCTCAGGGCAAAGGGCAGGGAAGCAGGCAGAAAGACTGTAAGAATCAGAGGACCAAAGAGTATGTTGTGAGACCATGCCTTTTACCTGCCACAGGTACACCCAGAAACTCTCAACAACTTGGCTGCTTAAAGAAGACCTGAGCAAGTCTAGTAACCATTGACATTCCAATGGAAAATATTTCAAAGGTCTCCACCCCTACATGAAGATACAGAGGGAGATAACGAGGATACATGTTACATAGAGAGAATCAGTGTTTGGCAGTGTGGGGTCAATGAGACCCCACATAGTTATACAGTACTGGGTGGTCAGACCTAGAAACATAATCAAATAGACGACACTGATGAGACTCAGCAAGAGGCATTTGCATGTCAATTCATTCATATGGATACATGACAATAATGGTTAATGAAGAGGAGGCTTTGAATTGGGGGCAAGGGTCAACCAGACATGAGAGAGTTAGGAAAGAGGAGGGGGAGAAATGATATAATTAGATTTCAATTAGTATTTTAAATTTTGAAAGAGGTGAATATTTATTCTGGCAGAGCATTAATTAGAATTTTTTAAAAGAAGAGTTGAAAAAAACTTCCATGGAATGGCTTCTGATGTTTTGATTCTTTCCTCCTATTTTTTTTTTTATTTTGTTAAAAATCCCTTTTTCAGGGGGTAAATATGCAGAAGGCAGTATCACATAATCATCGAGAACGTGAATTTGTTGGTAGGCACAGAGCCAAGTGGCAGGGTACCACCCCACAGCTCCAACACCAGCGTTCACTGTCTTCCATGCAAGGCCAGGGCCTCCACATGCATAGTTTAAGCACCAGCCTCAGAAGTCCATGGAGGAGACTCAAGAATTCAGAGCTCTGTCTAGGATGTCACTCAGCAGGTGCCCTAGTGCAAAGCCATCAGGCAAGCAGGACAGTTTCCTTACCGATGTCCTCTTCTAACCCACACTTACCCTGGATATTCACAGTGTGGCATCTCACTACAGTTTCTTCTCAAACCCTAGGAAGTGGCTTCACACGAGATCCCAAAGCATGACATGTCAGCAGCGTCCACCATCCCTGCGCTGGAGCTGCGCCACCTCTCAGGCCCTGTCAGTCTGAGGAGAGCGGTGTCCTTCATTTTTTGTTGCTTCCTTGACATGCTGCCCTCTTGCTATGTCTACTCTGCTCATTTCTTCAGGGCTGCTATTCCTTGCTAGATGATACTAGATGGACGGTTACTCTAGTCCCTGTCAAGGGCTAATAATTCCTCATGTTAAATTTTCTTACACAAATTCCTGGTTAGTTTCTGTCTCCTGATTAAAACTTAACTCGAATAGATAGACTTTAAAATATTAAGCAATTTATCCTCAGGTGATGACATTCACCTCCTAAAAATATGGGATTTGAATTATATAACATTTTGTCACACCATATCGATAAGTGCTAAATGAGTTTGTTTGTAGATTTCATGTGGTTTTTCCAATAACAATGAAAACTATTTATAGGTCACTGTATATTTTATGATTATTTTTACCTTGTTGCATGTATGTGTTTTGTGTGTTTAAAAGTATACATGTGTATAAGGAAGTGGTGTTCAAGTGCGTGTGTGTGTGTTTGTGTGTGTGTGTGTATGTATTTGTGCAAGAGGTCAACGTTGGCCATTGTTAATCAGGAGCTGTCCACTTTGTTTTGTGTGACAGTGTCTCTTACTGGCCTACAGATTAACCAGTAGGCAGGGTAGTTGGACAGACGCCCCAGGGATCTAATGTCCCCAGCCCCCCAGCACTGACTCACCAGTGTGTACCAGGACAACAAGACTTAGAATCTTATTTCATCTTCTTAGTGTGAGCAAACCACAGGGAAAGTTACACTTTTTTTTTCTTCAAAATATAACGTTCAAAACAATTCCTTCCTCACAAAACCAAATCTAAAACTTAAAATATTTTCCTACGTGTACAGATATGTAGCCATACACATTAGCCAAGTGATTACATAGTTCTCTTTTTCATCAATCAACAGGAGAGAAAGCCCCTGGAAAACAAGAGGGAATGCCTGCCTTACTTCAGCCAGACTAGGGTCAGACATCTTCAAGAAGTTCAACAGGGCTCTCATGCAATGGATGCGGGCATTTCCAAACATGAAGGGGCCGAAGTCTGGGGAGCGACAGCACAGGGAATGCCTAGACCACAAGCCCTAAAGCTCTCTGTGATGCCCAAGAGAAGGCGGTCGAATGAACTGCAGCTGCTCCTTGGAACCATAAAGAAAAAATGAAGTAGGAATGACTCCAAATAATTTCAGCTGCTTAATAGAAAAGGACTAAATTGCACATAAGCATTTGGCTCTCCTGCATTTATCTCATTTAATTCACTCAGTTTGAAACTGTATCCAAATCTAGATGTGGTAGCTCTGGTTTGTAATCTCAGGACTTGGGCAGAGGCAGAGGCATTAGCACAGGCTTGAAGTAGGTCAGGCTCAGCCCCAGAGTCAGTTCAGAACCAGCCTGGAAACACAGAGATCTTGACCCAACAAATACTACTCTAAAATAATAACAGATAGTAAATTTGATAAGATTATTCTATTACACTTAATAAAGAAGCATTTCCTTTTTCATAAAGGGAATTGCTTCAATTTTAGGTGAACAAAAAGCCGTCACTAAGATTTAAGCAATAATGAACATAGGCCTTCCACTTTCTGTGTCTAATTTTACACTAGAATACATATATACCAAATTATGACCCCAAGATCACAGCTTAAACACAATGGCAGCAAGATATGAAGGTTTTCTTCTATTTGGTAATATCATATATTCTTTAAGATGCTAATACACACTTGCAGCCAAGGTCAGTCCTGGAAGATTCTTACATAGCGCCATGCTGTGCTGGGAACTACGGGACTCGACTCGCAGCCATGTCCTCTACATACCACACTGCTGTTAGGTCAAAACACTCTGCTGCACTCGCCTACCCTCATTTGACGTAAGTTAATGCCATACATTTTGCCATGCCATTTTGATCTCATATTTTTAATGTTCATTAGTAAATTTGAAGAGGAAGATGACATCAGTTCATTCATGTGAAAAACGATATAGGCCTTAGACTAGGCAAAGTGAATGAAAAGCAACCTTGTTCCTAAAGGAATTTAACGTTTTTAAACTTGACTTTTCAAGCTGTAAGGTGTTAATGATCACCAAGGGAAGAAAATGTAAAACAGAATGGCCTTGAATGGAAAATTTAAAAAGGACTCTGATCTCATATTTAAAATAGATGCTGGCAATTCTTTATTACATAAAAGTAAAACTGCCCACTTCTTAAAAATAAAGAATGACAATTAAGATAGAAATTAAGTAAAAAGTTGAAATACACCGCATAGTACTATCTTAAGAATTTATTTGTCATAAGTCTCAGCATCTGCATTGATAGTCTTCAGGGCAGAGCCTTTCAGAGGTCCTCTGTGTCAGGCAACCTTTGGGCAGAGTGCAGGGAATCTTAGGAAAGAAGTGGGAAACAGTAAGATCTGGAGAGGACAGGAACTCCACAAGGAGAGCCACAGAACCAAAAAAT